CATACGGCCCCGCCCCCCCCCCCCACTATAGCTCTCGCACAAAGTCCCCGCTGGAGCCCCCCGCTTTCCGCACGACGGCGACGTCGCCAATCACCATCTCCCTGCCCGCCACCGCCTTGAGCATGTCCCACACCGTCAGCAGACCGACCGAGACTGCGGTCAGGGCCTCCATCTCGACCCCCGTCCTGCCCTCGCACGCCACCTCGGCGCGGCACAGGATGCTGTATGTGCGCCGCGCGACCCCGCCCGCCTGGCAGCTCGCTCCGACATCGGGATCGCCGATAACCTCGCGCCGGCACGACGCTTCGCGCCCCCCTGAGGATCCGGAAGCTGATCGGTCCTGCCCTTCTTCGGGCTGCAGCGTCACCGCGATGTGGGACAGCTGCAGCGGGTGGCACAGCGGTATTAGATCGGCCGTGCGTTTGCTGCCCATGATCCCCGCCAGCTGCGCGACGGTCAGCACGTCCCCCTTCGACCGCGCCTTCGCCTTCGCCGCCTCCAGCGCAGCCCCCGGCGCCCCGTGCCCTGCGGGGTACGTCGCCGTCACCAGCTCGTACGCCACCTCCGGAATATAGATGCGCCCCATCGCCACCGCCGTCCGCCGCGTCGGCTCTTTCCCGGCGACGTCCACCATCGACGCACGCCCCGTTGCATCGAGATGCGTGAGCTTCGGGCCCATCTCCCCGGAACCGAGTGCAGAGATGCCACTAGTGCTGAAACAGCGCACCGCGGACTCGCCGCGGCGTCCCGGGATAAGATTATGCCATGATGATTTGAGTCGAGAATGTATCAGTGGTGCCCGAGGCCGAGTCATGTTGATGCGATACCCTAATGTACAGCGGGCGGTCAGGGTAGGGATCAATGTGCGCTGGTCGGTGACGAACATTGGGCGGAAAAGAAAGAAAGACTCAACCTCCAATAAGAATCATGGGTCGGTTGGTCACGACGTCAATGTCTTCCATACCGGCATGTTTCTCCTGCTTCCCCCGGACGGCGTGCCCTATCGTTTCTAGCAGTTCGTCATCGGTCGTCCCGCGGCGCATCTGGTCACGCAGAGATATCTCCTTGGCGTCAAACAAGCATACCTGACAGACAAATGCGGCGTGAGATAAAACTGCGAAATAAAGTGACAACGTGTTCGACAATGTGATCCTGACCTTGATCTGGCCGTCCGCAGTGAGCCGGAGTCGGTTGCATGACCCACAGAAATGATCGGACATGCTACTGATGAAGCCAAAGCTCCCTTTGAATCCGGGAATGATGTATGAACGGGCAGTGTCGTTGAGCTCATCAGGGGCCTTGATCGTATTGGGGTGGTCACGCTGTATGCGGTCTAGAATTTCAGAGGATGGAAGCATCTTGGCCTTATCCCATTTGTTGCCTGTCCAATGGATGCAATAGAAAATGAGTCATATCTTGGCTGACTGTCAACATGTTGAGACGTCACCTGTGAACGGCATGAATTCAATAAATCTGACGGAAATATCCTTGCTTTGGGTCAGCTGTATGAAGTCCAGAACCTCGGCATCATTCAACCCCTTTATTACTACGACGTTCAATTTTACAGACTCCAGGCCGAGGGAGAGCGCGGCATCCAGGGAGCGAAGAACGGCTGCGTGACCCATTCGCCGAGTCATGATCTCAAATTTATGAGGGTCCATTGTATCCAAGCTGCGCGGCGTTGTCAGCACGAGTCTAGGTCCAATATGAAAAAGGGCACCTGAGGTTCAGATGCGTAAGCCCATTCTCAATCAACGCAGGCAGGCGACGTTCCAAGGCTATGCCGTTCGTGGTCATGCCAATAGATTGCAGACCGAATTCTCGCAGCTCATTCAGACGACCTGATGAACACCGTGCGGAGAATGAGAGGCAAATCCCCAGAATGTCGCAACCGCGAACCACCCACCCACGATGTCCACCAAACCCTTTCGTACTGTCGGCTCGCCGCCAGTCAACCTGATCTTGGTCACCCCGCTCTTGACAAATAACTTGGCAAGACGGATCACTTCATCATCCGTCAGGATATGATCCCGGGGGGATAACTCGACACCCTCGCTGGGCATGCAGTAGAAACCTGTACAGCCAAGGTCCAATCACTATCGGCCCCGGCAGCCAAGCTCATCCACATACATCGGAGATTACATCTCTCTGTGAGAGATATGCGCAGGTAGTTGTGCCGTCTGTTAAATGAATCTATCAAGGACGGAGAAAATGGTTTTTGCGCATCCACATGTGCCAATTTCTCCTGTCGCCGATGGTCAGAACCCGAGTAGCATTGGCGGAGACAGAGTCCATGATGAACGCACCTTGGCACGAGTGCGCACATGCTCCGCAGTGGTCACTTCCGCCTGCTGGACGGCCGGAGACGTCCCGAGTCCGCGACAGAGAATGGGTTTGCCATGAGGGGCAAGTTTTGAGTAGAGTCGGGCTACAGACATGGCCAGAAGAAGTAAATGAACGCCGCAGATCGCACGAGATGGGCAGAATTGGTAGCGAGGGTCCGTCCGTTGCTCTCAGGCTCGTCGTGAAGATGCGAGAAACGGGGGAGTTTGAGGAGCGTTCTCAATCAACCCGGGCTACGCCGCAAGCGGCACAGCTGACGACGCGCGAGTCCGGGGGCGCTACGGTCTGCTGATGTTGAGCACACAGCAGCAAGACGGTCGAGCAGAGGAAAAGGAGTGTTGAGGGCCACGGTGTTGCAGGGTTTATATGTTATTTGCTTCCGGTCTGACTCGAGCCCATCGATAGAAGTGGTTGAGACCAAGTTCACAAGCTGGGCGTTGATAGGGCTTGTACCCGTCCCTTAGTCAGCCCTCAGCCGCCCAATGGTGCCAGGTCCGTCTGACTCTGTATCCAGCAGCTCCGCTTGTTGTCAGACATCGTCTTCAAATTGTACCAGAACTTTTGGATGGTTCGTCTCCCTTACTCGAGCCCCTAGTGCAGAATTTCCAAAACTTTGTTTCTGTGCGTCTAGATTCATCTATACATGTGCATGCCATGCCACGCATCTACAACCCTCGCAACCATACTTCGTATACCGTCCATGGCTTCTCCTGATCTTCATTCAATCGCACCCTAAAGTACCTCCCGTTCGCGTACAGATGCAGGGCCGTTGAAGATAGAACCATCTGGACACTGCATTCACGCAGCGTTTTGGCGGAGCCCTGGTCCCCACCACTTGCAGGGTTGGCGATGCTCGTGTAATCGCAGACCGGTCGGTGTAATGCTGGGCGCTGATGCACATCATGAGTCATGGCATGACAGTAATGTAAACATACACCCACCCAGCGCTGATTATCTGTCGAAGATTCGAACGTGCTGGCCTGCAAGATCTGTTCGGTATCTGCGTCCACAAGCCATACCATTTCAATCGCCTTCCATTCATGCACGTCGCTGATATCCGAGAGGATATCTAGTGCAATTGTGTCTCCCTTCCTGGCACCTGTGTTGCGATTGTGAGCGTGCACGATACCGAACAACGGCAGAGTATACATACCGCCCAGGCTCTTGAAGGCGGTGTCGGGACGCGTGTCCACCGCATGCGACGGAGGGTGGTTCTCGTAGTGCCGCTTCCCTGCTTCGCCTATTTTCTCAAGGTTTTCCTGGCCAAGACTGACCATATGAGCCGCGCTAGCGCTTGTATGCGTGATCGTGTCTGGTAACAACTTGATGTTCGTTTCAAGCATGCAGGTGGCTCCCTTGCACGCAGCGCGTGTCCATGGCGTAGGTGGAGGATGCACGGCCAAAGACGTGTAAGGCATTCTAGCGAGGGACGGCTTTGTACTATCGTCCGCACTGTCGCAGGACGCAGAACCACAACGTACGATCGAGTCCAGATATTCCGCAGCTCTAAGCTAAATGATAATGATGTGAGCATCCTTTGCGACGGAAGGCTTAAGATTGCACGGACGATGTGTCGTCTGTTCCTCTCATCTCCCTCCTCTCCCACTGTAAATGCTTGTCCACCTCCGAGTGGGAAATCCTGGTCAAACCAAAATTCGGGCACTCGGTTGCTCAAGATCGTAAAATAGTTGTCGGCCATTTTCATCTCTTCTGGTGTCACGCGCAAACGCCGCATTAGAGCCAAAAATTCATCTGCTTTAGAACGGTGCATGATGGTGCCGTGTCCCAGCCAGGCGAATGAAGTGTGGATATCCGAGAGGTAAGATGGGTCTGGCTTAGGCACATGGATCTCGCGAAGGGATGATGATAAGTGTTCATCAGGCGGAAGAAGATGGATCGCATGCGAAGTGTTGCTGCTAGATATTTGCGCTCTTAGTGTTTGCAAGATCTCTGGACGGATAAGGAAGTCGTCGTCCTAGAGCTATCCTGATGAGTGGCCAAGAAGTACAGAGTGTAGGTGAACACCCACTTGGATGAAGCAATAAGGTGTCCCCACACCAGCACATGCCATGAAACGGCCCTGAAAATACATATTCCCTTGTGAATTGTGGATTACCAGCTGGTCTTTTGCACATCCCGTATTCTTGAAATCCTAATGACGAATTACAACACATCCAGGCGAGACGAGGACAAGTCCACGATGACATGAATATACCTCGTAGGTGAGTGTGCGGGGGCTGTTGTTCCATACAACCACTTTTGCGACAGTGTCACGAAGCCATGGTCCGCATAAAAGGGAAGTGATAAGCAAGACATTGGGAAAACGAGACCAGTTTAGTATGACTGCCGTCGTGTCGGGGGCGTTGATTATCGAGGTATTCTGTACGCGTTCGTAGTCTGCAAAATCTTCCGCATCAAGTCGATAAGTTACTGGGAACTTTCTCGGTATGAAACCAATGTCGCCAAGGACAGGTAGATATAGAGATGGTGGAGTCGCGTCCGACTTCGTCTTCGTTTGGACATAGCTAACGGCCAGGGCGATGACTACAGGGATGGCGATAGTCTGAGCGACATGGAAGATCTGCCTCCAGGAAGGTAGAGGCGGCATGGCCGTAGCGAGACAGAAAACGTCGAAGACGAAGACGACAACGACCTTCCTCGAGCAGGGACAGGCACTCGCCGCCGCCGCCAAGCGCTCCCGAGCACCAGGAACTGCGCGCTAACCCAATCTGGAACCGCATGCGCATCAGAGTCTATCACGTGACGGAGGAGCTCCTCGCCCACGTGAAACTACCCCGCGCGCCTGCGTCTCGCTCAAACGCCGCAACGACGACAGCAGGTGCAGTGCGTTGACCACGACCCGACTCACTCCTCCCATTACAGCTGACGACCACCGTCCTTTACATTCCTTAACTCAACATGCTCGCCATGCGTACTTCCAGACTGTTGAAGCCGACCCTGGCCTCCGTCTCTTTTGACGCGAGGCGCGCGATCTCCGTGAAGGTACAGTCGTCTGCGGGGCGCGCCGTAAATGTGTGTCGAACTGCTGACGCGTCTCCCTTGTATATGGACATGTCGTGCTCACTGAAATGTAGTCGATACTACATGGTTCACCAGAGGCAAAGAAAGAGGGAGATGTCGCCGTTCAACAGCATTCGCGGCTCGTGGCCCGCGGAAAGTATATCCATGGATTTGAAGGTGAGTTCTAGTCTTGCCGCGTGTCTCACTAGAAGTGAGGCGAATGAATGGGAAAATAGTCCACCGAGTGAAGCCTGAGGCAGTCGGAGACTACAAGAAGGCAGCGTACGTCCCAATATCTGTGGTCCTATTTCCGCCGTGGTCCGCTGACGTCTTATGACCTACGTATCCGTAGAGAACAATATTACGCGGCTATTAAGGATGACTCCGGTTTGCACGTTAAGCTCACGGGAAGCTGGGAGACGGTTGTCGGGGAGCAAGACACGTTTGGTGAGTTGACATTCGCCCGCCCCCTTGCCCCCATCTGAACTAGTTTCCTTCCTAGTCCATATTCTCGAATATGAGAACTATAGCGGTTACGACATGACCACGAAGAAGATCCGAGAGTCTGACGTGAGTGAACTCCGCTTGTCCGTCTGTCATTACGCGTGAAGGAACAATGTTGCGTATCAGCATATCAAAGCATATCGAAGTATGCTGCCCCACTTGGTCTCGCGGTCTTCTCAGTTATGTCAAGAGTTCGCCATCCTGCCTACCGCACCTCCTCATTCAGAAGGAGGGATCTTTGAGCTGCGGACGTATCAGCTGAACCCGGGGACGCTGTTACAGTGGGAGCAGACATGGTGGGTTGGACATCATCTGCTCAGTCGGACTTTGATGCTCACGATATCAACGTTGTGTCATATATTATAGGCGCAAGGGGATCGAGGCCCGGCGGAAATTCGTGGAGCCTGTTGGTGCATGGTTCTCACAGGTTGGGCGACTACATCAAGTTCATCACATGTGGCAGTACCCGTATGTGCACCGAACAATGTCCGTTTCGCTAGGCTGATAGTCAGCTGGAACGCCTAGTGACCTGCAGACCCGAAAGGAGACGCGCGAGAAGGCGTGGAAGCTGGATGGGTGGTCAGAGACAGTCTCAAAGGTGCGATGTTATTTCCTTGAGCGGTGATTGAAACTCATAGCGCCGGCATATCAAGACGGCGGAGTATTCGATGCTGATGGATTCGATAATTCTGGAGCCACTGCCATTCAGTCCTCTGAAGTGAATGCGGTGCGTTTCCCTCGATTTCATTGGATGCCGGCAACTTGCCCTGGCTGTGGGGCGTAGCATGTGTGTTGACCGAGGAGAAGAGGAGAGGGAGAGGGAGGTGAGACGAGTTCTTTCGGAGGATTGGATGTATATCTAGGGAAAATTTACTTTGTGATTGGAGTTTACGTTTTGCGCATGAGTAGCCGTGCCGGCACGCAAAAAGCGTGGGTGACAGTAGGTCCCAAGTAGGTCCAGGCCAAACTTTGCGGCCGGGGCACATGACAGGGCGCGATGGGGTTACGTACGGAGAGGTCTGGTGGTGGGTGCATCTGATAAGGGAGAGACGCCATTTGTGTTGGCGATGGGAATGGGGAAGAGACGGAGGAGGAAGAGGAGGAGGAGGAGGAGGAGAAGGCGAAGGCGAAGGCGAATGTTGTGGACTGAATGAGAATCAGATAATCACGGCGCATGAACGTGCCTTGTGTGCAGTCGCGATAAGGCGTTGATCAGCAGCCGCAGACTTTCCTTTCTGGGCGCGCCACCGGCCGTGTCAAGGACTTGAATCGGAGCTGCGGATCTGACAGCGAACAATGGCCGGGTGCGATGTAAGGAGAGGCGGATGGACCCACAAACACAACCTAATACCCGCAAACTCTTGCCTTTTCCTCCCGCCCAGCCACTCCTCCCTGGCCGGTGCCTCCATGACCAGCCTCAACAACCTCCTCAACCCCGAGTCTTCCTACGAGTACAGTCTCCGGTGAGTCCATTCTCCTCCAGCTGCCCCTCTCTTCTCCTCCCCTCCCCTCCCCTCCCCACCGCTCACCCCGCCTTCCAGAGTCAAGCAGTCTCGCTCACCCAGTGGCAGCATCTCGTCCCCCAGAGAACATCAGTCAGACCGCACATCCATCCAGGAGAACTACTATGGCCAGAGCAACATCTCCATCACCCCCCACGAGCCACATCCCAACTGCCCCGATACCCTCGCATGCCTCCCAAACACAGACGGCAGGCCACAGCATACCCTCCCCGTTATCCTCCGCTGCGCCATCCTAGGCAGTCCCAAAAAGCGTCTGACCATTCGCGAAATATATGCTGCCATGGAGAAGAAATACCCCTACTACAAGACCGCAGGCCCTGCATGGAAGGTAGCTATCTCTGCCTCTCCCCGTCCCTCCCGTCCCCCTTCATTCACGCAATGGCTGACCTCCGGAGCTCAGCAATCAGTCAGGCATCATCTATCCCTCAATCGCCTATTTGAGCGGCAACCGCGGCCCGCCACCGACCCAGGCTTCGGCTCGTACTGGACCGTGAACCTCAATGCGCCCCCGGGCACGAAACGCCCGCGGAAACGCGGTCGTGCAAACAAGGAGGCTGCAGCTAACAGCGCTGCTGTTCCGCCCCCTCCAAGCATTCCTACAGCGCCCCCGCCTGAGATATCTCTACCCCCTCCTCCTCCGCCATTCCGAGGCAAAGCACAGGAGAAGACACCCGAGCTCAAAGACTATCATCCCCCTCCCATCGCGACCCTGCGGCCAGTCGACAGTCGGTCGTTCAGTCAGGTATCATCCCTGCGGCCAGGTGAGTACTATGACGATGACGATGACGACGAGATGGAGTGGGACGAAGAGGGAGGACGCATGTCGGACGAAGACTACGTGAGCTCCGACGAGATGCCGTACAAGTTCGACCCCCGCGCGTCTACATCGAGCACGCATTCCCTGACCAGTCCGCCAAACAGACCAGTGCTGTATGGAGCATTCTCGGGATATGCAAGTGCCGGTTACAGGGGGGCGGAGAGCCAGGATCCCGTGGCGGAGCGGCTCAAGATGGAGATGGCCGGTCTGCGAAGACAGTCCACAGACGCCGTCAATGCGTCGTTACGGATGTCGAGCCAGCTTGCTGATGCGCAAGCAGACGCGGCGCGGATGCGAGCTGCGCTGAAAGTGGCGGAGAGCCGGCTGGATGAGGAGATGAGGCGGCGGCGGGAGGCGGAACATATTGCGGAGGACGAAGCAAGACTCCGATTAGCAGCCGAAGATGCATTGCGTGCGTATCAACTGCAACGACGACCGCCAGGATACACATCTTCACGGCCTTGAGGCTCAAGCATCATGGCATGTCGTCAACAACATGCTGCCTTGTTAGACATTTACAGTACTGCTTCTATTATGTTGGGCAGGCCTTGTTATGCGATTTTTCCTTGTATGGGCCGTAGGTTATTGTATCCATTTTTCTGCTCCTTCTCCACATGTTCTACTACGTTCGAGAATGTTCTTTCAGAGCCCCGCTGTAACCTATCTGTGTACGCAAATTGGTTGTGATGCTTCCTGGATACATCATATCAAAATAAACAAGGGCAAAAGCGGCCGAACACCGGACCAGCGTATTCGGGGGGACAAGACCAGAACAAGGGAAACTGTCAGGATCCATGACTGTCGGAAATGACTAGCAGAGCGCGGGTGAACTGCCATGTCGGAGCCAACCTGCCTTGCGCGAGCGGTGCAACAGTCAGTCGTCCTGATCCCAAGCTGAGCGCACTCACGCGAAGCAGGGCCTGTGTTGCCCTCGCAGTTTGCCGGGAGCAAAGAAATCGCCCGCGGACAGCCACAGGAACGCGTCTCGCCGGAGTTATTTCATCTCAGAAACACTCACCGCTGCTCCGCACGGACGACCAGCCGCAGCTTTCTCTCGGAGCTCCGATCTGGGTCAGGCTCTTGTGGCTCGTACTCCGCACATGTCTGAGCCGGTAGCGGGTCGATCAGGCGGTGAGCTCACGAGAAATTAAAGACAAGCCCGACATGACTGATAAAGCCGTTCGCCAGTCAGCAGCACGGTGCGTCCAGGAGCCTGCGCGCTGGCCACATCACAGAGAACGTACTTCCCAAGTTCGATAGGCGCTGCTGATGGGCGCGCGGGCGTAGTGGCTCGACGCTGATGGACAACAAACGCAAACAACGCGCACCCAAACGTCTATTGAAAAAGTCGACATTGGCTCGTTCCTCATGGCGTCTACTGCTCGTCCCAAGCTCAAAACTGCGTATGTTCTCCTCCGCTTTCCATAACATGAAAAAAAAAAAACACCCTGAACCTCTTCCAGCTTCAAAAAGGCAAGGGTTATTGCCCCTCTTCATACTGAAGGCCCGGTCGCCGTCACCCACGATGGCACAAAGCTCTTCACGTGCGTGGGCGAGGAGGCTCTCATGACAGACGTCAAAGAGGGAAAGGAGATTTGTCGCTTTGCTGGTGTACGTATCCCACCTTGCCTAGTGTATTCGTCGCTTGTTTCACTCCAAATTTATCATCAGGACACCGAACCCATCACAGCGCTATGCATTACCCCCTCCTCTACCCACCTACTCGTCTTTACGTCCTCTCTCGCACTGCGTATCTATGAGATCCCGCCCTTAAACACACCACTCAGCAGGCCCGTCCACCCTCTCCGGGTCGTAGCCCGCGCACACGATGCGCCCGTGCATGTCTGCAAAGCGGACCCAACTTCTACCTATCTCGCCTCCGGCTCCGCCGACGGTGTCGTCAAGGTATGGAACATCCTCCGCGGGTACGTCACCCACGTCTTCAAAGGCCACGGCGGTGTCGTCAGCGCGCTCGCGTTCAACTATCCGTTCGATCCCTCTGCCGTCAATCGGGAAACGAAAATGCAGCTCGTCACCGCTTCGGTAGATACCCGTATACGTATCTTTGACCTGTCAGCTGCTGCAGCGAAGACCGGTGCGGCGCCAAAGCCGGAAGCGGTCCTTGAGGGGCACGTTTCCGTCCCGCGTGGGCTAGATGTGTCCCAGGACGGCAAATGGCTCGTCAGCGGTGGACGTGATTCGGTGGTTTTGGTCTGGGACATATCCGCGAAGCAGTCCGCTGCGCAGAAGACTAAAAGCAGCAAGGGCAAGGGAAAAGAAGCTGCCTTTTCCCCTTCACTTACCAAGACTATTCCCGTGTTGGAACGTGTGGAAGCTGTTGGGTTATTACGCCCTGACGAAGACTTGGCTGGAGCGCCGTCGGAAGCTGGTAAATTACGCTTCTACACTGGTGGTGAGAAAGGCGTTGTGCGGATATGGGACGCACGAGAGGGTGTTGTGCTATTCACGTTGGGTCACGAGCAGGATGAGGTTATGGAAGACCAAGAAGAGCAGAGGCAGATCATGGATAGCATGTACGTCCGCAAGCCACATTATAGTAATAATCGTGCTGATAGCCGGGACTCAGCTATATCCCGGCGACATCCACAATTATTTCTATTCACGCTGACCAAAACATCCTGTTCCACTCCCTCTCGTCACAGTCCCTCACGCGCCAGGTGATCGGATTCAATGACGAGATTGTTGACACAACTTTCCTCTCGCCATATCTTCCCCCGCAGGCGGGCCCCTCCTCGTCTCAACTCACGGACACGCATGTAGCGCTAGCGACGAATTCGTCCCTCATTCGCGTGTACTCTGCCTCGTCGCTGGATGCCCGATTACTCTCCGGGCATTCGGAAATCGTGCTCTGCCTCGACCAGGGTGCCGGCGGCCGCGTCCTGGCCAGTGGGAGCAAAGACCGCTCGGCGCGGATATGGGCGCCTGTACGTCAGTCCGGGGATGCAGGCGCCAGCGCGTCTGTACCAGAATGGGGATGTGTCGCGCTTTGTGAAGGGCATGCGGAGAGCGTCGGCGCGATCGCGATGTCTCGCAGAGCGGACGTGGATAGCCCTGGCGGAAAATTGCGCTTCATGTTCACTGGAAGCCAGGACCGGACCATCAAAATGTGGGACCTGTCTAATGTGCCTTTGGCGTATTGTAGGCCATCAAACAACGAAGACGGAGATGAAGAAGGCACAGAACGGGTTGTCAAGTGCAAGAGTCTTACCACGCACAAGGCGCACGATAAGGATATCAACTCGCTCGATGTCGCGCCTAACGATCGATTCGTAGCCTCTGGCTCGCAGGACCGCATGGCAAAGGTGTGGGAGATTGATTACATCATCTCTGGTGGTGCAGTGCGCGGCGAGGTGCGTCTGTTAGGGACATGCAAGGGACACAAACGCGGTGTGTGGTGTGTGCGCTTTGGACGCGCGGAGCGCGTGCTTGCGACAGGCAGTGGAGACAAGACAGTCCGGCTCTGGAGTTTGGACGACTTCACGTGCCTGAAGACGTTTGAGGGGCATACGAACTCGGTCTTACGCGTCGATTTCATTAATGCCGGCATGCAGATGGTCAGCTCCGCGAGTGATGGGCTGGTCAAACTGTGGAATGTGAAAGACGAGGAGTGCGCAGCGACCATGGATAATCATGAAGACAAGGTGCGTGTAGCTATACCTATCTGTGAGTCGGGAGGGTGCTGACAGCCTGTATGCTGATAGGTCTGGGCACTTGCAATCAGTAGAGACGAGTCCACCATTGTCTCAGGTGCTGCCGATTCGGTGGTCACCTTCTGGAAAGACTGTACGGAGGAACAGGAGATCGAGAAGGAGACACAGCGTGTTGATATGGTCCAGAAGTGTGTATTCCCATTCCACAGCTCGCCAACAATCTGGGATACTCATGGTGACTGTCTGTAACAGGGAGCAGGACTTCATGAACTACCTCGCTCTGCACGACTACCGGAATGCCATCTCCCTCGCGCTCGCCATGGACCAACCTGGGCGCCTCCTTTCGCTTTTCCGGAACATCCAATCTTCCACCTCCACTGCGAGCTCACCGGAACCGTCGCACTCTGGCCACCCCGCCGTCGACACCGTCCTGCGCACCCTTGCCGCGGGCGACCTTGCGCGGCTCCTGCGGTACATCCGCATGTGGAATGCGACCGCCAAGACGAGCGGTGTTGCGCAGCGCGTCCTGCACGCCCTGGTGAAGCTGCGTCCTGCGGGCGACATTGTGCGCGCGTTCAGCGAGGACGGCGTCCCGGATGTCAGCGTGGGAGTCTCTGAAGGTGATGGTTCGTTCTCGCTCAATATCACGCCCAAGGGTGCAGAGCGGGGCGCGACAGCGCTCAAAGACTGGGTGGAAGCTGTCATCCCGTACACGGAACGACATCTCGCGCGGATGGAACGGCTCCTGCAAGATAGTTATGTCGTTGACCATCTTCTAGGGGAGATGGACGACGGCATGTTCGATGATGTTGACAGCAATGTAGATGGCGCCAATGCAAGTATCATGACGCCTATGGATGTAGATAGGGCAGTAGAAGCTGGAGTGTAGTACATCGCGCTGTACAACTATGCGCCAAAAAGTATACGTACTGATCCTGTAATCATCACGCGCAAAATCTAGCAACTCATCTGATATGGTCAAATCTTGATACTAAATAGTAAGTGCTATATGTACATAAGTACAAATTGCTAGTCTGCGATACACAGAAAGCACGAGGAGCTAATCGTAGAGAATATGACAGAACGAGTCGGGCATACAATACAATGCAGATAGAAACTGGACATGGATACAGCGCGCAGGCAGATCAATCAATGAGGAACGGCGGAACGCTGGCAGTGACTCGCAAATCTAAAATAAATGTTCAGCGAAGATCATGTGGGGGCTGTAAAAGCTCAGGATAATGGCGGATGAAGGTCTAACAGCTGGAAGCACAATCCTAGAGACGCCGACCGCTTAAGCAAAGCGGACTTTCTCTCCCGGTCGGCCTTCAGATAGGAGTACAACAGCCTGTGCAAAATTAGCAACGTCTACAAGCAACGTAGAAAATCGACCTTACATATTTGCCGCTGATCTTCCAACCTGCTTCCTCCGTATCTAACTTCTCCGCAAGTACATCACCATCCGAACCCAGGCCGACGACGACATCGCTTTTGATGGTACGTAGACTGCAAATACGAGGAGCACCGGCTGCAGATGCCATCGGACCTATGGCGATCTCGAACTCAGTCGATGGTGGAGCAGCACAGTCGTAAGTCAGCTGTGAATATAGTTAGCAACTATAAAACGAGATCTGAGCAGAATAGGCCGGCACTCACTTTACGATGATTCAGATCACCTTTAAAGATGACGAGGTCCGAGCGAGAAAGATGAAGGAACAAGTCGGGCGCTTCGCTATGGAGGTCCCAGTAGGTGTACCCCGTACACCAAAACGGATGCTGTTCATAAATCCATTTGCCTTCCTTTTCGTATTGCTTGAATCATTCAACTTGGTTTAGAAGATCACACGGGTACTCGACGGGCCATTTACTCACCTTCCACCTTAAGCCAAGTCTCCGGAGACTCTCCATTTCCTCGTCTGTTGCCTTTGGGAATAAATGCCCGTAAACCATTGAGTTGAGAAGCCAGTTCCAATCCTTCTTTGTGACGTCCGACACAAACCAGGGATAGCGCTTGCCATGGAAGCGGACCTCTTTCGCAAGCCCGCTCTGAATAAGAAAGTCCGCTGTACCAATACGGTGAATATTCAGACATTGAACCAACAAGTTCGCAACGTACCATAAACGCAATCGCAATACAACTCAAAACCGGCATTGTCCAGCACGAAGTCAATTCGTCCACCCGTATTTGTTTTGAGATTTTTCATTGTCTCCCACAAACGCGCCATGTCGTTGCCCAAAATATTTTTCTCTGTTGCAGCGAGGTGTTCACCACCCGTCGACTGCAAGGATTTAATCTGCTCCTCCGTCATGTTGATTAGTAGCGAAAGGTCAGTGGAGTTGCCCCAAAGGCAGACTACAAGGATCAGCGTTAGTGATAAATGATAGGCCTGTAAAGTGAAAGGCGCACTTTGCGTTAGCTCCATAAACATAAGACGCTCCGCCTCGAGCTTCTCAGCATCCGACAAACCCTCCTTATGTTTGAACGGCTCCAAGAAACGAGTCGAGAGCTCGAATACGGCATCACCAGACCGAGAGAAAGTGTCGCACTAGTAGTGAGTGAGTGAGTGACGCTTGTAAGATACAAAACACGAGACCAGCAGCGAGTTAGAAATACATACCTTTTGGCGGAAGAAAACGTCATAATGTTGCCAGTACTTGCTTACACTGAAGCACTCGCGCAGACGTCGATACTTGTACGCTTCCGCGAATAGCCACGGCGCGTTCATGAAATCCTTGCCTGTGAACAAAACACGGTCACGCGTCAGTGATGATGCTTTCACGCGTCCAGAACAACAGGGGGACGATCGTCCCAATCGGGTAATAAAATTGCTCAATTGGCTCAACACTCTCGCGCGGGAAGGAGCAGAAAACATCCCAACCACATACCTTGGAAGTACTTTGCAATTTCTTTGTTCCAGAGTGCGACGTCGGCCTCCCCATCGTCAATAATAGGCCGAAGGCGTGCCTGAGACTGCAAATCTTCCTTCAATTTATCCATGCGGCTTATACATTCAATAAGGTCAGTGACCCTCTCTTCCTCAGATTCTTGGTTGAGAGTTTCGACGACGTCGTCAATGGCTTTACTCAAGATGGTGGGAAGACGGTGGCCCATAGTCGCGTAGGCGAAGGAGTAGCTGTTGCGGGGTCAAGCTCAATAATCAAGATATTAAGAACGACAAGTACGAACGTATGATAGCCACGGAAGGCGGGCCATGGCGGATTGTTGGGGTCAATCTAGATATGGATGGTGAGTATTCCCCGAAGTACGCGCAAAACAAAAGGACGAGTAAGGCTTGTATGTGAACAAGACATAGTTGGCGCATATATGCGCTTTGTGTGCTACTCAACTCTGTCCCGAGCGTGCACCACTCACAGAAGACGGGGTTCTTGGATAGACAACCTTGATATCCTTCTTGCTGGGTAGATGAGAAAGGGTGAGGGACATTTTGTTGGGCATGCCCTTTGTCTTGGTGGGCTCGTTGGGCGGCGGGGCAGCACCATTGGGAACAACGGAGTTGGGCATGCTGTATTTAGCGTCTGTATCCGTAGGAGGAGTGGGAGGGAAGTAGTCAGTCATCGCTTCACCCATCGTTTTGAGAAGGAAGGGATGCGAGAGGGAGGTTGGTATATATGCAGCTGGTACAAAGGGACGGGTTGCAGACGAGAGGACAAAGAAAACCACGCTGGGAGGCGGGAGAGACGACGGACAAACCTTTATGTACGAGAAAGAGGGGCGCGGCGATTGCGCGAGAGGCGGATGTCGGACGATGGCAGCACGGGGACAGACGAGAAAGACTCGGACGGCGCTGAAGCGATCTGCCATTTCGGGCGTCCTTAAACAACTTTTAGACTCTGACGTCAATCGCCGCCGGGTTATCGCATGTGGGACACTCCATCCCGGCCGAGCAGGCGGCCCCGGTGCCAAAAAAGGGAATGGCGGTGCCGTGGGAACAAGAGTGATCAGATAAGGCGAGGCCGGACGGCGCTGCTTCCCGCGCTTACCTCGGGCGCTCCTAGATAATCGCCAAAAATTACTCCCCCACTTTCCAAGCCGCCGTCTTCGGTCTGCTTAGCTCCTCGCCTCCAATCTATTCACAATCACATCTCTTTGAGATGCCACTGCGCACAATCTTGAGCACGGCTCAGAGTGAGGCTTAGTCGCCAAGCAGCTAGATCATATCGCAGAAGTTGCAGCGAAATGACACACCGCGTGCGGCATGGCGTTGTCCTTCCTCGCTCCACTGTGAGTAAATACCCAGAGTAGGGCTTGCAATTACGCAAACACATTATTGTTACACCGCCTGTGACGTCGCTCATTCACTGCCTCAGAGTTCCACCCGTCTCCTTCTTCCTGGCCAGCACAAAAATATGCCGTCTCCAACACCTTGGTCTGGCTGATTGTGTCCTTGAATCGAGCCACTTTCAGACACGGAACCTCGTTGATCCGCGGCGATCTGACATGACGAGCAAGGGTCATTCATCGGTGTCGACCTGGACATAAATTTCCTCGCCATTGCCTCTTCTGCTGGGTGTACTGGCTATTCCCAAGTTCTACTTCTGTCTCGTTACGTGATTGTGCAGTGAGGTAATGATATCCCGTACAGTATCCGTTCTTGTCGTTTAGTTCAGAGTGTTGCCTGCTGACGTCTTTCACTATGCCGGATAGGGTAGCCTGTACTCCTGCCAAGGTTCCGGGAGTGTTCTAGGGGCGTGAAGGCGACGACAGAGAGGTAAGTACATCAACGGTCATTACGGCAATTGGAACTGGACCGTTCGGACAGTGTAATGCTCTGCGTGATTGCATCGAGTCTGGTGGCAGATAGACCCTTCACAGTCTGCACAATCTTGTTGTTCACCAGTAATGCACTTTCCAATCGCTCTCTTTTTGCTTGCTTTCTTCCCTGCTACTCCTGCTAAAGATCCGACCGCGAAGAACTTTGTTCTTTGGGGCGCCATCATTAAAGCGGTGATTGCAACATGCAAATTACGAAGTACCTTCTCAGCAGCCCAAGCCCCAGCTGACAATGCCCTCATGTCTCGTATTGCTCTGTTATGGAATCACTGTGAGTTGTGCACGGCATCTGTAGAATTGGAGTCAGCACCAATCAGGTTGTGCGCCATTCTATTACAAAAAACGGCTATTCAGCTGCCGCTGAATCCCGCCATCACGAGTTCTTGACTTTACGGCGCTGTATTTACATTTTTTTCGTTCAAGTGCTTTTAAAATCTGCGTATTTCTAAATGTCAACAGCGAACCTTCAGTCTGGTCGCTGCAAGATCGCTGTTACAGCGCCAAGGTCATTCCGCCGGCGAATACAGCTCCGGTGCGTCTGTGGTCCTGTATGCCCACGATCATACAACCGCATACAGTACCACATACGCGAAGTTGGAAGGTGCGGAGAACTAGAGCGAAGCAGCTTCGTTGCCCCTTGCACCTGTTTGCGATGCCCCTGCGTACCACGTGTCCCCATACGATGCGCTTAGCTCAGTCATGCGACCCTACTTCACTTGCGAGAATCCTGAATTCTAACCGGAAGAGAGTACGCGACGGCATTCACTGTGCGGCGCGACGGCCGATATCGCTCGATCAGATGTGGGCGACTCAATGGCAGTCACCCATAGAAAAGGCGATAGTGAATTTCGCTACACAAAAGGTCATCCAGAAAAACTGTAAGCGTTTCCCCGACCATCTTGTCAGAGTCTCTCGGAAGAGTACCCGAAATACATGGATCCTGATTTGTCCCGTACAGTGAATACAGCGCAAGCGGTTCCTAGCTCAGAGCAGACGCATGTATCCCTTTCCGTACCATCACCTCTTCATGTCTTGCAGCACCAGCCTTGACCAGCTCCAAACGACAATGATAATCTTATCGTCGAATGGGGCCCCTCGATCGCTTGATAACTGTGGAGAGCAATAGTGGGGCAATTGAGTTCGAGAAGTTGTGGATCAGCTGGGGCGTTTCGAACAGCACTAATGTGCACCTGATTGCATGGTGATAGCGCGGAGGTGATAGGTCCGCGTTACGATGAGGTGTGTGCGCCATTAGAGCCCTCTGCCTAGTACTTCGTCGACATGGACTGTTTATAGTATCCGAGCCGCGCCCTCGGAGGCCGGTGGTCGGAGCGAGCTGGTGCAAACGTCCGGTCGTTTCTGATTGATTCGAGTGCAGCTGAGGCGGCAGGAGAAGTCGAAGAAAGCGCCCTCGTTGTAGATGTGCGGGTATCAAATTCCGAGGATATTCGGCGTGAACCTACCATCGCCGCGGTACACGTCACACCGGAAACACAGGGCCAAGGATCGGGTGAGGATGCAGGTGTTGACGCACCAACCTCCCGATGAGCTGTTCAAGTTGTTTTATTTGTGCAGGATACTGGGGGACATGTTTGATACCTTGATCCGACAGGCATGACAGTGGCACAGAACGACTCATCGCACAGACTTTCCGGATCTTGTGTCTCCAGCTGACTTGTGCACGGATGTGTGTTGTCTCCGTGGCCACCCTCATGCCAGCTGGCTGATTACTCGAGGGAAACGTGGGCAAGGCCGTGTCACTGTCCCGAATGCGTCCCAGATAAAACGCGGTCACGTGTCTGACGCGTCTTAGATTTGTCCGAGGGACAAATCTAAGACGCGTCGCAATCCAACCTTGAAGGCGATTTCAACTCCAAAACGGTCCGTTCTCTCCATGTAACAGTTAATTCAAGAATGTATTTTAATGTGGATATGTCTGCACAGACTCTTCCACGAGATCTAAAGAAGTGCTTCATTCTGGCGAGATGATACTGGTCGTGTAAAAGGATTCGTCGAGGCTATTTACAAGTGATTATTAATACCTAAAACCAGGGAATCTACGAACAGCGCTCAGAGCAGCTGTGGCTCTCGTCCGTTGACAGGATTGTTTCCCACCTTCGTATCCTTCACGCGTCACGGTGTCGACTGTCTCCTGCTACGTCATGTTTCACCCCTCTGACGCACATCTCATATAAAACCTTCGTCTCTCCCAATGCGCGCCTCGAACCCCTTCGTCACTGTCTTCGTCGTCTGCAGTATCTCTTCCAACTCGCGTATTTCAAGCCATGGCTGATCAGATTGTTCACTCTACGAACGTGCGTACTGACGCAATCCATGCACTCTGACTGTACGAGTCGTCTCAGCCCCGCGAAGATATCTCCATAACCGGCCAAGCCGGATACACCGGCAAGGCAGCCACCGACCGTCATGGAGAGGGGGTGGCGGAGTCGTTGAAGCAGAAAGTCAGCGAAGCTATCCATCACATTAAGGAGAGATCCAAAGAAGAGGTAAGCATTTTATCCCTCCAATACATCGTGCTCTGAATGATAGTTTGGCTTAGTGAGTTCACTTGTTGTCATGGGGTTGGTCGATAGACGTTGACTCTTTGCAGGCGCGAGTTAGATGATATATCTGACGAGGTAAGGTGTCTATTCTTCCACCTTGAAACACAAAATCATAGAATACTTTCAGTGAGTATAACCGCCGTGATCATGGCTCTCATGCTGAAGAGGCCAGGGCATTCGAAGACAAGTATTAGGGCATGACGACTTTCCTGATGAATTCGGTGGACCCGTGATGTAGTTCATTCCAAGGATGCAGGCATCGAATTCATCTTTGTCAATGGTTTCTGATTATTCTAGCTTCGCGTCCCCTCATGTACCTCCGAATGACGCCGTCAATGTGCTACATGATCACACTTCTACAGAAGCTCTAAGGCTGCGTGACTTTCCGCTGACTTCAACCACTGACGTCAAGCTTTTAATCACGCAATATTTGTCTAACCAAAGCTATGTATATGCACTGACTGTATCGTTATACTGCCGGAGAACGCATCTGCGAGAACCCGATGAATCACGATAGAACTTGTGCAACCGAGTAACCCTTACAGGAAAGGAAATTAGATTTCCTATTCTGGCGTTGTGGATGCTGAGCAGACGCCCAGGCATGCCAATATGAAATGTGCTTTATCCATATGAAAAACTGTAGGGCGTGGCCTGGAACTAGAAAACCACTTTATCGAGTCAAACGCTGAAACCTCATTCCGAATTTCGGCATACATTCACAACACTATGAGGCGTACATTGGGTATAACCACCATGTAAATCGACAGTAGCAAGCGCACAACCAGAGGATTTACGATCAGTGTTCCATATCGTATGTTTAGTAGTGAGTTCTTAACTACCATTAGAATTCGTTGTCCGGTCCAGCGTGAGTCTAGTCGCTGCTAGACTTGGGCGGGTAAGCGATTCCCTCCGAAGAGCAAGAGCCGGCCTCATATGCGTCTGAGATGGTCGCGCAAGACAATGAGCACCGGCTGTAGAAGATATAACACTATGGCACGTACCGATGGCAATGAAGTCCCCATTCTCCAATGGGCCCTGGAGATTGAACCAGTATTCAATTTGGTACAGGGTGTTGTCATCGTCACAGTCGAATGAAGCGGTGACCTATGATCCCCCAGTGCCGATTTCGTCAAGTGTCCTAGAGCACTTTTGAGAGATACTCACGCCAGAAGCTTGCTGAATCGCGCTCTGGAGCTCGTCCAAGGTGAAGGTGCGATCGTTGGTGGGCGTGATGCCGCCCTGCTCGAGCCAAGAGTACGTCGGTAACGTCTGTACACGCAGTCAGTAAATGCAAAACTATCAGAGAGGAGCGGTGGATATACCTGAAATAGGGTGACTACGTTCTCGAAGAAAGCGACCGCCTGGCGGGATGACTCGTGTCAGGAATGAGCCACAATTGATACAGATCGTCACTGACATTAGCCCCGGTGGTACTGTCGGAGAAGCAGGACGACGCCAGGGTTGTGTAGCAAGTTCCGTGCGCAGCCCATTCATGCTAAGATACAATGAGGCGACCAGTTTAGCTTGGCCGATTAAAATCAGCGCACCTCCCAAAAGTCCTCGTTTGACTCGTCGTCACTGATCCAATACTATCCAGAGCACGTTTGAGACAAATATTGCAAATACAGCTGAAGCAGCATTTTCTCACCGTTTGCATATAATCCAAAGTATCGGACGCTCCTTGGTCCTGGAGCAGCTATAATAGGCGAGATCAGCACATCATTCGGTACGGCGTGTCGCAAGACATGCACCGTGGTAATATCCTTGTACTCAGTTGAGTAATCACAATACTCCGAGTATGAGCCGTCACAGCTGCGAGCAGCATTAAATCCATCCGTCACAGCGTAGCCCACTGCTGTCCCACCCACCTGTTCGGCCATAATCCTGTCCCCCCGTCAGACAATGCGCAGCGGGAGAACCTAGCTAGTGGTAAAGCTTACCATGGATCGTCCAGCTGTCAGACGGGCCTGTCGACGGGTTCGTGTCCCAGAACTATTCATGCGTTAGCCCCGCTGTCAACGAGATTCGTTTACGCGCTGTAACACACCTGAACTTGCTGAAGCAGACCCTACGAGTCCAGTGCGGCGATTGTCAGACAAGACTGCAGCTACTGGATCACGAGAAGGGAAACGCACATTCCCTTCAAAACAACACGAGTCCGTCTCAACAGTCGTATTTTGGCACGATGTAGGTGCAGAGGCGCTGCAGCTAGAGCTCTGCCTAGAAGATAAGCTGAGACTCCCGGGAGATAGCATTGACCTTCTGGCCGAGGTGGCGCCGGTGAATGCGCTAGCAAACAAGATGAAAGAGGTCAACATCTTGCGTATCGTACGGATCCTTCAGAGTCGTTCGTTGAGGTGTGGGCTTTGGGCTGCTGCGCCTCGACGGGGAAATTAGGAAGCCCCAATAAATACATACAGCAGAGAAGGCAGGTGGAGGGTCAGTTCCATGCTCCAGATGGATACCGGCAGTGCGAAGACGGGAAGTGTTGATGGTGACAGTGTGCACACACGTTCTCAAAATGTCTCACAGACATCCGAGCTTGTGGACCATGCGTTGTGTTACCTCCAGGTCCTGGTATGGAAGATCGCTGGAAACGGCAGAAGGATGGCGACGAGCTGGGAATGGGCAAACTCCGGTCCCGCGAATCCTCCGCTGGCTGCTCCCAAACGATGGAGGATGATTTACGCACGCAGCAGCATGGACATGACCGCTGTACGGCAGATGTAATCAGAAAACTAGCAGCACAGACAATACAGAGAACGATCGCTCTGACAGCGGCTGAGAGATTAAAGCACGGTGCATACGTGAGAAGAACAAACATAGAGCACTGGCATGAGGTCGACGTTGTGGCAAGCGTGCGGATGCTTTTACGGACCACACAGTCCGCCAGGCGCGGGCTCAGCGGCCGAGCCCATTCGATACGGCATCGCTCGGCACCATATGAGACATCTGAACTCCCACCTTCACGCTTGCTGCACATGTCCTTCAATTTGACAGTCTCTGCAATGCTGCCATGCATCTTCCAGAATCCATAAGATAGAGCGAGGTATATACAAATACTCATCAACGTGCGTCTGGACAGATAGCCCAGCTATCTGCCAGACATCTTGATCAATCTCACTAGTGAATCTATTCGCAGTCGCCATGAGTCCCCATACACGAACCCAACCAGACCACTGATGAAGTCCCTGCAGAGGAATTAAAGCGAATTTGAGACCTGTCATGGAAGTGTCACATACCAGCTTCGCCCAATAGAAGGAATCGGGTAATCCACCGGTTTTGGTATCGTTGTCTGCACTGCCCAAGCGAAACGGTCAACGACAATCGCTTTTGGGTTCGTCAATGACCGCAATCCCTCAGGTCCTCCTACAACACACGTGCGTCAGCATTTAACGCTCAGACAAGGGCACGAACGTGCGTACCGAATCGGCCATATCCGCTGGACTTTGTGCCACCAAACGGCAAATCTTGACTGTAAAGTGGCTGAAGTCAACTAGAGTTGCGGTACATCTTGCTAGCTACTTACTTGAGCTAGAATAAATATCAGCTTAAGATTCGGGGATTCACCCAAGTGGCACTCACATAAAAAACGCCAAAGTCGTTGATGGACACCATGCCACATTCGAGTTGTCGCGCAAGGTTGACACACTGTTCCTGCTTGGGCCCAAACACACTTGCTCCAAGGCCATATCTGGTACCATTCGCAATCGCGACAGCTTCCTCAAGCGTGTCGTATTTCATCAACAGCGCAACCGGTGCAAACACTAAATATTCTCAATAATCATATCAGAACCGCGTAGCATGCAAGATCCACTCACATTCTCGCTGTGCGATGTCTGATTCTGGATGGACTGGCGAAACAAGTGTCGGATGGAAGTAGGAACCATACTCCATATAGGGGTGTTCGTATCGCGTTCCACCCACGACATCTAAACCAGAATCTTTAGCGACACGGACCAACAATTCCGTAGCTTCTACTCTTTCCGGGGAGATCATCGCGCCAACGTCCGCCGTAGAAACAAAGCCATCGTTTGGGTTTGACAATGTGGAACCAACACGGAGGTCCTTGACGCGGGCGACGAGCATAGCGTGCAATTCATCATACTGTGAAGAATGGACAAGTAACCGCTCGATCCCTATGCAGTTTTGTCCTGCGTTCTGGCTGTGTGTAGGAATGAGTCCAGGACCTATCTAAGTAAAGGAAACTCGTACTAAATCCCGCGCATCCAAATACTAATCCATTGCTTGAGATCTGTATCTGGCATGACAATTGCGGGGTCCTTGCCGCCAAGCTCCAGCGTCACAGGAATGAGATGTTCAGTTGCCGCGATAGCAACCTCTGAGGATGTCAGCAGGGCAAGCCTAGCCAGTCAGATGATTGAAGTACCTTTCGTCCCACTTCCTCTGAACCAATGAACGTAATGTGCTTGATCAACGGAGATTTTGTCAAGGCCTCCACTTCATCAGGATAGCAGCGCACTAACTGTGGTGGATATGAAGGCACTGCAAAGCAAGCAAGAGAAGTAAACTCACCTGAACCAGCTCAGGGTCATGTCCAGAGACTTCGAGACATTGCTTTATGGCACCGACAAACCAATCTGTAGACCAAGCGACATGCTCGGAACATTTCAATACGACCGCATTACCGGCAAAGAGAGCGGAAAGAATAGGCGACCATGCGTTGTGTAGTGCTACACCTAAATCAGACTGTGGGGCTCATTACAATGATCGGAGACCACGAACGATAATTCCAAGACACTATAGCCGCAACCACGCCTAACGGCTCATAACAGACATATGACTTTTTGTAGAACATCAAGAGGCTGCTCCTACGTGATTCAGGACGCAGGTACCGTTCGCCATGATTGATTAACCAGTCCATTTTAGCGCAGGTCGTCAGAACCTCGCCAAGTGCGGCATCGAGCACTATGAACTCGACACCTTAGATGGACCATACATGGTAGCAATCGTAGATATACTGACTGGTCTTTCCTGTGTCCCGACATGCAACTTTTGCACACGTCTCTTGGTTATCGACCAGCCATTTCTTCAAACTCCGAACTACGCGTCTTCGATCTCGGAACGACGTGTTTTTCCAGCGCTTTTGGGCTTCCGCAGCTCGATAAATTTTCGCAGTGGTTTCCAGCGAGGTGTCCGCCAAAACGCAATCAAGATGAAACGAGGTAGCAGGATCAAAACAGGTGATATATCTCCGTTCAGGCATATACATTGACGGTCTGATTTCTTCAAATAACAAATGTGATTCCAGTGAAGGATTGGGTATCTTGTGGGCCTCAAATTGGGGGCCGACTGGCTACAGGTATCTGAGTAAGCTTTGGGACGAAAGTGAAGGGGAAGGCGCGTACTTTGGGGGCAGGCCATCGAAAGGGCACAGCGCGGTTGTGAACGGTTTGAAAGCGATTAATGACAAGCCAGATGCCAAGAGCAAAGAATATAGTCAGTAGCCAAAATACGTCAAACCCGCCGTCGTCGTCGCCTGAATATGCCATAATGAAGTCGTGAACGCGTGAATGACCGGAGGATCGTCTAGAGAACAATGCAAAGTTGATTTCTCGTCCCCGTGTCCGCGTTGTGTGTCCATGTTTGCTGTAGTGGCACATTCGACTAGCGCCCGCTTAGCCAAGCCGAACGTCATTCTGCTCTTTCAGCCACCACCACCTACTTTCTGCAGTGACCTGCTATCCGCGACAATGTCGAGCAGAGAGCCAATGTGGTTTTGTCATGAGGTACGTTCTCATGTCTTTCTTATTGAGAAGTCTACTCATGTTAGAGTCTGGATGCAGTGCCACGCTGAGATGAGACCACTCATGGTTGGTTGTCTTCTCACCATGCGGGTGAGCTGCAGTGACCATCTCACAGGTTCCAGATCCGCATTGTGCATCTTGCAATGGTGCTTTTGTAGAAAAGGTGGATTGTTATAACATTTCCCTGTCTAAGCTCTCACAGTCGATGTCCAGCTGGAGAATCCCGATGATGATCCCCGAGCGTTCCAGCACGCGCACGATGGATTTGATGACGATGCTTTGCCTGAAAATATGGACGGTTTCTTGGGTTTGTTATTTTGCTGCTAATAGCAGGACATCTGCTTCGATCTCACGGATCATCTCCAGCTGGTCTTCGTTCGCTCATGCGTGGTCCTGGCGTCAATCCGTCTTCAGGATCTCCACAAGGAATCCCTCCACTGGGTTCCACACGCTCTCAGCCAGGGAGTCCAACCGGGAGACGTGACCGAATGGGCTTGGTATGCAGATTGATTTCTTCAGCCTTGATAGTCTAATTCGAGTGCAGGGAGAAGGTAGCGGGATGACCATACGAATCCAGGGATCCCCCGACGGTCGTGCTCATGCAATGTTCATCAATGGGTCATCGCGCAGAGATCATGTCTCACCACTCTTTGGAGAGTGAGTGTTCATTCCTACCGAATATGCGTATTCGTAACGTCATCCTCCAGCTTCATCTCAAGAGGTGGGGAGAGCCGATCTAGTCGAGACGACCAAAACACTATTCATGGACCATTGATGGCACAATATCTTCTAGCGATGCTTGGCAGTCGACCTGGACAGAATGATGACTCCTTGAATGATTTACTTGGCTCCATGTTCGGCATGCCTGGTGGTGCTGAGAATGGCCGGTGGGGAGATTACGTCTTCAACCAAGAAGGTGGCGCATCTCTCCCTCTTTTCTCGACGATGTCGTCGTTAACTAGAGTCGTAGCTTTGGATCAGATTATCACTCAAATTATGGAGAGCTCGAATGCCAGTGCTCCTGTAGCTGCGACAGAAGCAATTATGGAGAATCTTCCGCGAATAGTACTGGAAGCAGGATGTGAGAGTTTCTTCATTTGGGTTTAATCTGGCGCAGTGACAGAAGTGATCCAGCTCAATTGCTGGAGAAGGATTGCGCCGTCTGTAAAGAACAATTCAAGTTAGAAACAGAAGATCCTGACGAGCAGGTGGTAGTAACACTACCCTGCAAACACCCTTTTCACGAGGGCTGTATCATGCCGTGGTTGAAGTCTAGCGGGACGTGTCCGGTGTGCAGGTGAGTGTGGTCTTCAATCTCCATGACATCACTTAAATATGTTCAGATACCAACTGGTCCCACAACCTGAACATCATACACCGGGTCCTGGTGCGTCCGGCTCAGGATCAGGCCGACCGTCGAGTCCCAACAACCCAAGACAGCGACCTTCATCACCTGGTCGTGGAGCTCAAGGGGGGAGTGGCTTGTTCAATTTATTTGGCATTGGTGCTGGAGGAGGTGGCTCCAACGGTGGTGCGACTCACACCACAAGGCGGCGTACCCAGGATGCCAATGACCCCGAGTCCCACATTCCCGGCGGTTGGGGGGATCACGTCGATTAAATGTGGGGTTTGCTGCGACTATGGGTCCACTCAGGTAAGTTGTTGTAGACATAGACCCTAATTCTATTCTGTACTCGTGTATTTGGATATTGGAAGCGTAGCTTGATAGTATTGTATGCATCTCATTCTTGATTGTATGTTAACGTTCTTTCTACTTATCAAACGTCAACGTCAGGGTCAATCCTGAACGTTTGAATATCCAAGCCCAGCTTGCGGTGTTTGTGTTCTTGCCCTGATCTCACCTGTTGGTACGTCTTGTATGCTTGTGACCTACTGCACTCGCGTTGGCCAAGACAGGAGGCTGGATTTATCAACACGAAGGCGGCATCCAACAATAATATACACACAGCTGCTATAGCTAATTTGGGCCGAATCCGTAATCTCACAATGCGCATGCGCACCTCCGCGAAATCTAGATCTCAGTCTTGATGATGCACCATCCTCCACCATAATATGCTTCTCTCTGGGCGGGTCCGCGCCAATGACCAACGCGGCAATGTGCTCACACAAGCATTGCTATATGGAAGAGAGGTTTCTCGTGTTGACTCGGGTCTAGCCAAATCCCTACGGCGTTCGGTGCTCTAGCAGGCATTGTTCAAAACCAACCTCATACAATCCCATTTACAAAATTTAAGCAAATATCACGATAGTACACATTGGTTTTGGCATCCGCAGTCCCTCAGACTCTCGCACGTCACCTAAAGCATCCTAGTCACCAGCCCAACACCACAGGGAGATTAAGCTCAATTGGTGGTGGCGTAGGTGTACGCAGTCTCGGCGAAACCAACTTGGGAGTTGCCAGTGTCGAAGACAGAGTAGTAACGCTCGAGGAAGGTGTAGCCATTGATGAAGTCGAGACCCTCACCGCTCGGGGTGCCGATGTTGTTGACGATGAGGTAGACGTAGTCACTGCTACCCCCGATGGCGCTGTTGAGGGAGCGCTATAAAACAGATCGTGAGAATTGGAGATGGTGGGTGCGAGAGTAGTACTCACGGGCCAGATCTGAGCGTTAGCAGTGAACTCGAGGCTCGACTGCAAAGAAATAAGTGAGAGCTCGTATGATCACTTCAGGTATTACTCACGCCGCCAATGTTGAAGTACAGGCTCTCAAGGTTGTCGTACTCAGATGTCGAAAGACGAAGCAGACCGGTGTCCTCATCCTCAGTAGCGCCAGTCGCCGACTGGTATTTGCTGTAAGCATCTGTGTAGGTTACGTATATATCAGTATTATGAAAGATTACAATCTGTCAAACAGTACTCACTGCTGGCGATCAAGACGAGGGTGGTACCAGTGTCAACAATACCAGCAGTCTCAGACAGGATCGTGGTGTCGCTGCCATAAGTGATCTCCTCATTGATACCCCAATAGTAACTGGCCGGGGAGGTGGTGGTAAGGGGGCTGTGAAAGAGATCAGTCTCTGGCTGGCGGCAAAGTCATTATAAGATACAGACGTGTAGGTGATGGCGCCGGTATACTTGGATGCATCGGTGCCGCCGAAGGTGAGCTCACCATTGGCATCACTTTCAGAGGTGGTGGGAGCGAAGAAGACAGAGACGAGCTCCTCGGCGATGGTACCCTGCGTGTATAGGTTCTGAGTCACTGAAAAGGGCTCAGTGACACAAGCAAAGGATCGATGTGCAAAAGTTTCATACCGGTCGGGACCTCGTTAGTGTTGGAAACAGTGTCCTCTGTAAGATCCTCCGGGCCAATACTAGAAGACACGAAACTGATTAGCTTGTTCTTTCCCAAATTCCCAAATACATACCCAATGATGCCATCGACACCATCGAACCCTTCGGAGGAGGATGCGACACCGAAGGACTGGTCGGTGACAGTCAAGCTACCGCCTATGGTGATGTCGCCAGTATACTCGGTGCCCTCGAACTCGCCAGAGCCGTAGCTGACCTCCTGAGGGAATATGAGAAATATCCCTGCAGAGGATGTGCCAATCACATACCACAGAGTTTCCGGTGGATGTGGTACCGGAGGACTTGACAAACTTCTTGTCAGCACCGACCCAGGTATTGGAGGAGCCGGTGTCTACTATGAGGGTGTCTAGTGCGGTGATGCGAATATGAGTCAACTCATTCAATGAGCATCAAGATCCGATCGTAGACTTACAGTCGGTTGAGCCAATTGTAACCTGGATGCGGCATTAAACGGATTAATGGATGAGTTCCATTGCAAAGACGATGGAGTATCGAATACGTACGGTGACGACGTAGTCTTCTGCCTGGTTCGTCGCTGTGACATCTTGACGCGATTTCAGGTCACTGCTTCCACGGCTCTTCAGGAACTGTGCGCGGGCCTGGTCGCGCGCAAGGACGTTAGCCACGCCGGTCGAGCTCGTCCGCTTCGCGAGAGGGAGAGTGACCCTGCCATTGCGGGCCTCGAGGGGGATGGCCGCAACAGTGAGGGCAAGGACAAGGGTCGCGAGGAGAGAAGAGCCGAGGGCCATGGTAGTACTGTGGGTGAACAGATAGAGCTTGGGTGCTGGGAATCATTGTGGAGCACAAGCCTCTTTTATATGCAACCACGGTCAAGAAAGAAGCACGGCAATGTCGAATACTGTACATATGCCGTGCATGACTTGCACAGACATACCAGTCGACAGCCGCGTGGTAGTGAGACCCCGGGCGGCCGAGAATAGCATTGAGAAGATGAGCTGTTCCAAGGAAGGCTTGTGCGACTGTTGTGCGCAATGGCATCGCGGCATAGCGCTAGCAGTAAGACGGTTGGCCGGCGCTGGGAATTCCGGAGGGCTTCTGCGCAACCATCTGGGCGACGGCAGATGCTTACGATGGAAGCATGTGCAGCATGCGGCGGGAAACTGCGAGATAAGACATAGGAATCGTCTGGAAATTAGTCCACACGCAACGACTCAATGTATCCGACCTCTGATCGCGCTACGGCTAATGGGTCGGCACATTGTACAACAGTCTCTCCCGCCATTAAGCTCACGCGTCCGAGCAAGCAGTATGCTAAAAGGTGGGGCGATAAGACCTAGCAAGATCCCATCATATGCTACCGCCACACGTGCGGGCTCGCATCGTTCATAGCAGATTCGCCCGCACTACGGACATCCCGAGGTTGTCCTGACGGAGATGGCTTAGTGGGTATCAAAACGCGTGGAATCCGGATTCTAGTCCAGATGCGCATGCACCGGAGTATGGCACGAATAGAAGCACAACTGACGCACCACATGCTGTTTGTCGCCGCCGCCGGGAGGTTTGAATCAATTCGGTATTTTAGTGGCTTCGAAAGATGTCTGGAATCAAATTGGGGTCTGGGGGCAAGTGCCATACCCATCAGGCGACCGTTCACTGTAGGCAAGGAAGGAAGTGAGAGCGTTGTGACTGGCATCTTAGCGATGTCAGATAACCATGCGCTTCACTGCATGGGCAGCATATGCATGTCCCACTGAGAGCTAAACACATAACAGGCTCGTACCCAGCCGTTCCAACTTTTGAACTCCGAAAGCAGCTCCTTTTCAGCAAGGATGAACGAAGACAGTGAAGACGTGTTCCCAGTCGCGGACAGCCTTCGAGTCTTGGGCAGATGGCCGTCCAGCCACGACCACTGACAGACCATCGTGCAACCCTGATGCAGCGTGACATTGGTGCACTGGCCATGGCAACTTTCATTTGCAAACGCACGACTCTATAGAGACTCAATCACGTGGACTTGATGTACACAAGCCCCGATGATCAGCGTTTTGGCTCTAGTGCTGTCTCCGATATTCTGTCCAGCCGCTCCAAGATAATCCAACAAGTCGACTCGGCTCTGCATGCACATGGCCCGCACAAACCCGCAATAACTCGATCACACGAGACGCTGAGATACTCGGTTCACCGCTGGAGCTCCAGGCGCAATGGCCGATATGCTTAGATGGCGGCGATGGAATTGCATCTATGGGACACATTTAGCCATGTGCAAATAACACCGGAACGAGCGGAATCAACGTACTCTTACCGCGCATCGTACTTGGTGCTCGTCTTCTCATTTCGGGTTCGCATAAGGCGGCGGTAACGGATGCGGAATACGCGACCGCGTATTAGAACCCCAATGTGTGCTCACCGCCATCGCCTCGATTCACCTTGACTGACGTGCTCTTCTGCACAAGGTGTTGCGGTAAAGGTCGGTGACGAGCATTTCACGATTATGAATGCAAAAATACTATGAAATGACGAAATGCTAGCATTACCCGACGAACAGCGCGAGGTTACTTGAGATAGTCCAATTGAGTCTCAGACTCCCTAGCGAGACGTTCTGTGGTACGTTTGCGCATGGAATCTTCACGCCAAGGTATCTGGGCATGTGCTTTCTGCGTGCTGTTTTGGGCCGCGGTGGGAAGAGGAAGTATGGCTGCATCATTTGGTTCCGTTCCCACTTGCGCGCAGACGAGGAAGCTTTACGAATCATCATACCAACATTGATTCCGCAGCATGGCCTTCGGAGAATTATTGGGACAATGCGGACTCGGAGCAGCACAGATCACTCATTTGCGCGTTATCAAGCTGGACGAGTGGACGATGTTTCTGCACACCTTACGAGACACACCGCGTGTCTTCGACCATCCTTGTTCGGCCCACCATTCAATCGAACTTATCTGCAGACGGAGATACAGGTACGGCATGCCAATCTGCCACAAGAATAGAAAAACTACTCACTGCTGTCAATCCTCGCGGAATGAATGACCGTACGTCCCAGACTTGGTGTGAAGGGCCTGAGTAACACGGACAGCGACTTATTGAGTTCTCAATCAATCTTAGTCAGCAGGCGGCAAATGGAATCCACGTGACTATGTATGCCTCCGATGACGTCATATAAACCCCCTTGCTCGACGTAGACAACGACATTAGGCCGCCGATCGCTGCCTGCCATGGCGTCACCGACGTCTCCTGGTGGGCGGAAATCGCAGGGGACGGCGGGGTAAAAATTAAATGACTCGGTCGTCGCAGCACCTGCCATGTCTCTTCGTTTCCACCCCCACCATCTCTTACGCTGCTGCGTCTTGCACCCCACAACTCTGAGATCTCTTTCTGCCATGCCTCTCGGAAACGACAATGTGCCTAACGCATCTGGGCTGACTACACAAGAGACAAAGGCTCTGAAAGAGAGAAACGTTTGTCCACACGAAGAGAAAATTGTCCAAGGCATCAAAGAGGTATTACGAATCCCAGGTCTTGTCCATATGCTCAGAGCTCACGACATTCCGGCTCTTAGTTATATTCCTGCAAGCCCTCGGAGGTATGTGTCTCCTTGTGAATTTTCTCTGTTCTTTCGTCCCGACGCATGTACTAGGAATCGTACAAGATCTATGCGCACCATGCGGTCTTTCACGACCCGATCGGCATTGCGGAGGGCATAGAGGCCATTCGTGCACAATTCAACGGACTGTCTAAGGTCTGGCGCCGCCTATTATTACAGCATATAGCTTCCACATGACACATCGCATGCATCGCTGTACATGTGGTATTGCAGATTTTTCCTCGAGCAGACGTGACTCGCTTTCGCCTGCTGGAGAATCCTTCGTCGGTTCCGACGAGTACAATTCTGATCGACCAAGATGTCACTTATTTCCGAGACCCGTCTGGTACTCCCACCAAGGTGTGTCTATGCAGATGCATGAGGTCTGTGCGATCGATCATCACCGGAATTTGTAGACCGTAAATTCGTTGCTCACCTTGCAAACCAATGACGAAAATCAACTCATTCGTCACACTGAGGAATGGGACCACAAGCGCGAGACCACGCGGGATGATGGTTTTTTCGGCATGCTGAACGAACAAAGGAAGAAAATCACCGCCGGTCTGACGGGAAAGTTCATCAGTCAAGACCCGTCCGCTGGCGTCAGCTCCAAGTAAATCCAGATCAAATTAGACGGGTTTATGGGACTGTGTGTGAAGATGTACGCATGCATGTTGTACAGGGGTAACGGGGATCCGACAGTGTCCAAATATCGTAGTTTCAAGTAACAATTGTTAATGGGCATAATAAAATCATGCCACATCCATGCGGACTCTGCACTCAAAAAGCGAACCATTTTTTCGCGCTTTGCTGCGCTGCCAGCTTTTGCGCCTGAGTAGGTTCCACGCGGGTACGGTCCATGAGTCCGAAATGCAACTCGGTAAAACGTGTAGCCTACACACCTGAGCCAGCATACCCTTGCTTCCTTGCTCAAGGGAACTAAATGTCTCTTCAAGTTCTCCAAGTTTTTGTCTGCCACATTTTTCACCATCAGCACGACATCAGGTGCACAAGGTGACGACACGAACCCCCGCTCAGCGAGTGCACTACCCAGTCGGTTGTAGAGGTCGCTCACGCCGCTCGACATGGAGTCAGACGCGGCCTTTATCACAGAGGGACCCTGTTCACGCTTCAGCTCAACCGATGGACTGCCTCGAGGATCATAGCTAGGCTTCGGAAGAGGTCGATTGGGACCGGCAACTGTATTGGTCATGGGTCATCGCAGATGGTCATGAAATCAGCGAAAAGCGCAGCAAGACATGAAAGCACTCAGACATACAGAGTTCATCGATTTCTGCTCCGCTAACAGTACCTAGTCCTAGATAGCCCAGCATAGACCCAATGACGGACGGGGG